CTCTTGGGCTTAAGTGATTCTCTTGCCTCAGCCTCCCGAGTAGCTGGGACTACAGGCACTCACCACAACGCTCGGCTATTTTTTGTTGCAGTTGTCATTGTTTAGCTGCTCTGTGCTGGGTTTGAACCCACCAGCCTTGGTGTATGTGGCTAGTGCTGTAACCATTGTGCAATGGGTGCTGAGCCAGTAGTCAGATTTTATGTCATGAATTAAGAAATCTGATAATAGTGCCAGAAAACTCATTTCCTAAGGCATTTAAAAAAATTCTATATTATAAATGAGAGACACTTGAAAACTAAAGCAGCAGGTAGCCGTGTTTGAGAAATAAGTGCATGCCTGAATATACGTGTGTAAACAGTTTCCAGGTTGTATTCAGAAAACTCTGGAACCTTCTGCATCAGCTTAGTCAGTTCTCCTGTCCATTCTCCCACTGCTCATGCCAGAGGGATTGTGATCTAAGTACCTGGACCAGAATGATACACCTGTGTTCAAGACGGGCTGTCCTGTGGCACCTGCCCTGGCTTGCTGGCCTCGCAGCCCTTCCTGACCTTCTGCTGACACTCCCAGACACCAAGTTCTTGGCTTCTGTGTGTGGTTACTCTTTGAAAAGGAGGTTGGGCAGATGGGGGCAAATCCAGGGTGCAGGGTGTTCTTCTGTCTGGGGTGAATCTGGTAACAGCCACTTCTTGGACAGGCCTGGGTTCCCCAACCTAGGACAGTTGGGTCTTGGGGTGTTGTTGGCTCCTGGGTCCCCCGTGTTCTCAATTCTACCAATGTGGCCCCTTTCCCATATGAAATTCTATTTCCTGTAATTGGGATGGGCTGACTTCCTGGTGGGCACCGAGCACACTTGGGAGCTTTGCTTTGCAGTTTGTTGTGTGGCTTCGAGGGAAGCAGGGATTTTGTGGGGACCTTGGTGTGGATGTGTGGGGTCTACACACTTCCTTGAAAGCCCCTTTCCCATCATCCAGAGATTCACCCAGTGTTGGAATATATTTACCATGTACTGAGCCCACGCGCCCTTCTAGGTGCTGTGAGCAAAAGACACCCCACTCAGGATCAAAACCTTTCTTCTATCCATCTTGGGGCCATAAAGTAAACCTGGTCAGGGTGGAGAGAGAGTCACCTTTTGTTTCTCCCTCAGCACTCCCGGGACCCTTATTTGAGGCTGCCTGTCCATGCACCTGGGGCAGTCTGATAAAGGCCAGTGGTCCTGGCAGCGTGAGCTGCAGTGCTGGACTTGTGTCCCTTTGCCTCAGGCCACTGTTGAGTGTTCCTGTCTGTCTCCCAAGTTCCTAAATGTCCTCGACTTCAACTGGACATTGTTATGCTCCTTTGGGTGTGTGACCCAGTGTAGGTCAGTCTCCCCAGGGCCTGTGGTATAGCCTGTGCAACCCCCATGTCCTGAGTGGAGGCCAGCATGTCTGTGAGCATGGGCTTGCCTGACCAGCCAGCCCACCCCGGTTGCCAAGCCAGGGGCTGTGTGGATAATGCAGGCAGGGCTCTTTACCCCAGCCTGCAGGGGCTCACAAACTAGTTCTTTACGCACCTCAACCCATGCCAGTGTGGCTGGGTGGGTCCCCCTGCCAGGTTGTGGAGGACATCTTTGATAAAGTAAAGAAAAAAAGTGCAGAAACAGTTGACTTGTTAGCAGACAGGATTGAAGGCTAAAGGGGAGGCTGCTGTTAGCCAGAGAAGGACTCCTGCCTCTCTTAGGTGTCCGGAGTGGTAGGGGGCATCCTGGAACCTGTGGACTGTGCCTGCTTCCCCTGGGGGGAGACAGGGAATGGCTTCCTGTGATGTGATGTGCAGCATCTGGAGTTGGCCCCTCACCCCCCCTGCTGGCTGTGCCAGGTAGGGCAGGTCACTGACCCCTGGAGGATCTCCCTTAATATATGAACAGGGTAATGTCCTTGAAGATGCCTGACAGTGCTTCACGTCGGGGAAATGCCAGCTGAACAACAGACCTTGTGATTGTGTGGACATGATGACTTACTGTGACATCCAGACTTGGTTTAGTTTGGCTACTGAGATGTCTCTGGAGCTGACATTGTAAATGCTCTCAAACAAATGCTGCCTGAATTCCTACTGAGGATCAGGTCCCTCCACCATCCTACCCTGGCCACTCTGATTTTCGGGCCATCTGCCGCCTTGTCACTGTGGGCCTGGCCCGCTGTGCGCCCTCTTCCCGCTGCCACCTGGGCTCCAGTGCCCTCCTCTACCCTCCTGCATTTCAGCACTGACAGGAAGAAAAGGAAACCTCGGTACCAGCATGGTTCACTTTTCAGTGTTTTCAGGAGGGCAGAGAACTGGGAACACGGGTTGGTTCTGATGGAGCTAATTATCCCCGAGTTTGAAGCCTGCTGGTGACTCACACCACTGTTCTTCCAGTGCTGTGCTCAGAATGGCATCCATGAACGTGAAAATCGAACTGTAAAAACTGTGTGACACTTTGTAAATTGGGAACTAAGAACGTCACTAGGGAGCTGTTGAAGAGTTCACCATGGGGAGCGAGTCACAGTCTCACTCACCTTGTGCTTTGACGTGGCGTCAACGGGCGCCCTGCCTATCCTGCTGGCCCTCCCGGCCGCCCCTGCTCCTGCCGCTTCCTCCAGTCCAGCTTCACACCCACAGTAATGCCGTGCTGACCAGAAACAAAGAGAAGTATGGTCTGCCTTTATAAATGACAGAAGGGACAACAAAATATTTTAGAAGATTCAAAATGTGTCTTTCATACCTGTTTCATTAATCCTAGCAGTGAACCATGTGTTAAGGCCAGGCATTTATTCCTGGGACCTGGTGATTCCACTCCTGCTCCTAAGCCTTCATGAGAGTGCTGTGCGGCCCAGGAGATGTGGACAATAGTGTTCATAGAGCCAACGTCTTCAACAGCAAAAGCCGCAAGCCCCCAAATATCTATGTGCCAGAGAACAGATCCACACCACTCCGTGTGAGCAGACAGCGCCGTACAGTGAAAACAGATGCAAACGGCTTCTCCATCAGTGCAGAACAGCTGCACAGGTAACATTTCAAATGAAAAGCACAAATGGTAGAATAGTACATGAAACAAGACTTCGTTTATATGAAGTTAAAACGTAGGCAAAGCTAAATAGTATCTTCTTTGAAAATATGTACACTGTACAGCAAGACTAGGGGGAAAAACTCACCAGAAATTGAGCACCCCAGAGTTCCGGGCAGGAATCTCCTCCATGGGGGAGGCCAGGTGCATTTGGTGGGAGGGGAGCCCTCCTGGGCACTGGTGATGTGCTGTTTCCCAAGTTAGACTTTATGCATTTGGGCATCTGGTTTCTGATTTACCTTACTCACATTTAAATAGTCCTTAGTACATATGCAACAGTTAATAAAATGTCATCACATTTGTCACAGCCTGCGTGTTAAGCTTAATAAGAAAGCAGTGCTAAAAAAAAATTAAGAAATAAAGCAGTGCTGGCGTAGGAAACATTTCTGCTGTGCCTGATATTTTTTCAGTTACCAAATACAGTAGAACCTCCAGAGCTGACCCTTCCCTACGTAGACCACTTCCTTAAGCTGACCCAATTTTCCTAGATGGTACATGCACCACATGTACAAACGCCTAGTTCCTTATGTTGACCACCTCTGTATGTTGTCCTTGTTACAGCCCTTTGGGGGGTCAACTTTGAGATTGACTGTCCATGAAGGACAGAGATTCCTGACCAATTTAAGTAGTGGGATAAGCTCTGCAGAGGTGAGCTCTTGTTAATAACTGGTGTTTATTAAGCAATTGCTGTTGGGGACCCCCTCACGTAGAACTTCCATAAATGGTCCTGCCTGAGTCTGTCCCCAAATCTTATTATGCTCCAATGCCAGATGAGTTCCCTGAGGCTTGGCTCACCATCCAAGAGAGGGTTTGGACTGTGCCCCAGCAGCATGTTCCTTACACACAGGCATGTGGTACATACATATGTGTGCTTGTGCACATATCTACACACGTGCATACAACAGGCATGTGGAAGTTTACTTACTAGGAAAAGGACAGCACTTGGTTCTTTCTACTTCATAGGAAAAGGCAAATGCAGGCACAGATCCCAGTTCTTCATTCCATTTATTTATTAATTTTTTTTTTTTTTTTTGAGACAGAGCCTCACACTGTTGCCCTGGGTAGAGTGCCGTGGCATCACAACTCATAGCAACCTCCAACTCCTGGGCTCAAGCGAGTCTCCTGCCTCCACCTCCCAAGCAGCTGGGACTACAGGCACCTGCCACAATGCCCGGCTATTTTTTGGTTGCAGTTGTCATTGTTTTTTGGCGGGCCTGGGCTGGTTTCGAACCCGCCACCTTGGTTGTATGTGGCTGGCGCCTTAGCCGCTTGAGCCATAGGTGCCGAGATTTTTTATTTAGTTTTTTAAGAGACGGCATCTCACTTTGTCTCCCTGGCTGGAGTACAGTGGCACAATCACAGCTCACTGTCGACATCGAACTCCCGAAGGCCTAGGAGATCCTCCTGTCTCAGCCTTCCTAGCAGCTAGGACTATAGGTGTGTACCACCATGCCCATTAATTTTTTACAGAGATGGGGTGTCACTGCTGGTCTTGAACTCTTGGCCTTCAAGAGATCCTCCCCCTTGGGACTACAGGTGTGAGCCACAGCGCCCAGGCTTCAGTGCCTTTACATCTTTCTAGTGTAGTCAGTGCCGCTGGG